ATTACGACACAATTTTTCTAATATAAATATCTCGGCGAGTATTTACCCCCCTTGTAAATAAAAGCCACCATTGAAATCCTAATAAAATAACCTTTTGAACAGGGGGTCAAGTGCCGTCAGAGCATTACACAAACCGAAACAATCATATATTTACTCACCGCTTGGCCAAAGATTCTAGATTTTATATCTACAAGATCTTGAATATCTCTTGAACTTTTCGTCATTTTCTGAACGGCTATATGTGTAAAATACTCTTTGTATCCAAGCGCTTTCGTGTAGAAAGTTTCGTATGTATACGCCGACTAGAAATATTTATTTTGAATTTTTCAAGGTATCGGGTTTTAGTACGTTTTACTCGCACTTGCGAACATTGCGCAATAATTGGCCAATAAGAAGCTCCTGTTGGCCGGTATGACGTCAAACTCACGCGTGTAGGTGCAATTTGACCTTGCGAATCCATTTCTGGCCTTTCACAGCTGGTTCCGGAATCCACCCCGGAACTGGGTTCTTTGTCGGCATGCACGATTGATAAACGTTAAACCAATCACAGCACTGGAAATATTCAATTTCCCCAGAGCCAATGCCATCGTAGCCCGCGCACAGGCATTGTTCTGGGTATGAGATTGAGTGTAAATGTAAAGCAATTCGAATTCGGGAATGTTCTGTACACGATCGCTTGTATATATTGTAATTATATTTTCACAAAATTGTATATATTCTTGTTGACAAGTTAAGAAAGTTTACTGGGTAATAAATCAGCTTATGTTAACTCTTCAATTATTAGTGTCGCTGATCGGCGAACACGCGAATGTAAACAAACAGCTAAAAATAGACCCAATTTGGAGATTTATAACTTTTCAGAAAATTGCTTGCAGACGAGTTTTATTCCTGATTACTTAACTTTTGTAGGTATACTTTCAAATTAAATGCATTTTGAACTTGAGATATGTGCCACTTTTGAGCTATTTTAAGTAAAATATGAGCAATTTTCAGCCTCTCGTCGCCATCTTGCAAACGTAGTTCGTAAAACTATAAAAAAATCGTATTATGCAAATAAAGTTGTTCAATCTCCATGAAAACGAGAGAATTAGTGTTAATCTTGCATGTAAACAGTAACAGGAGGGGATAAACGCATCACAACGTTTTTAAAAAATCTGATGAATTCTTGTAAAATTCCCTTTCATTTCCGGTCTGAAAATATTCTCGCAAGGTCAAATTTTAACATGGCTATAACTCCTATAAAACAGAAAGTTGAAACGTTCTGAAAGAAGCTCGATTAATATTTACCAGAGTCTAGTTCATATGCAAAATATGAGCTAAATCTATTTTTTCTTGCCCAAACCAGTGGGTGGATTTTACTGAAAGGCCTTCTTAACAATTTACTCATATAGTAAATTCAAAGGTGAACTCATGCTGGGTAGTTATAGCCATACATACCTTTAGTAGAGGGAAGAGTTCCAGCAGTAGGAGACATAGTTGTGTCTGGAATAACTACATCCGAAAATACAGTAGTTTAGTGAATATCTTACAAAACAAACATATCAATGTGTTCTTGGCTTGCGGGCGCACAAAGAAAAACATTACTTACATTCGAAAATCCTTGGCCGTATTCGTTCGTAAGTTCAAGTTTAATTTATTCACACTATTTGGCGTATGCATTACATTAGAAAAGATATTCATGTCTATTCGGTATTAAGGTAATTCCCCAGTAATTGTTCCAGTACAGTAAATGAGAATGTGCTGAAACTTTCCAGGCATGGAGTTTATGATATGCTTAAAGTAAAAACACACGAAAAAGTCGGGGTCACCGAACTCGTTAAGAAGATATGACAATCACAATATATCACCTTTACCCCAATATGGCGCCATCTTGACGCTCATTACGAGTAACAGCAAAATCACAACAGCCCGATATTTATTGACGTTTTTCGTGCGAGTTTTGCTTTAGTAAACCTATCTTGTAATTATTTTTGAAAAAATATTGTGTTTTGAACAAAATGAAACTACTAACGTGTACAATTCTGATCCACAAATGTCTTTTCCACATTTCTTTACATGTCTGTGAGAACATGCATTGATAAAGGATGTTTTTCAAGATCCAGAAATGATTTTTCTTTTAATTTCGGATATGAAATGTAAAATGCATTAAAGAAACAAATTATCAGTTAAAAAACGGGGGTTACCGATCGTTTTAGAGAATTGTGGCATAAAAATGTGAAATACAAGTAAATAAATAATACAGACACAGAAACCCTAGCTACGCTTTTATATGCCTTTTTTGAAAACATTGATTTTAACGCAATTCTTTGCCCAAATGGCGAATGTAAGCAAAGATGTTTTGAAGTAACAAAAAATTGTCATAAAATGATTTATTTTTAAACGGTACGTATAATAGACGAAATTATAAGTTATAAAATGTGTGCAGTAAAAGTGCGCAATGCAACACTGTGGAATTACCTTAAAAAGTTTTAAATTATAATATTGAAATTGTGCACGGTGACCAAAGAAGCATAAGCTTTCGAGTTGGCCACCGACGTCACGCTTGTATCTCTAAAACGCTATTAAATACCGACATGCTCTTTATTGATGTTGCCCATTTTCAAAGTGGAACATGGTATCTGGACAATGCTACAGTACGAAATTGAAAAGACACTATATATATTATATCAATACCATCTCAAAATATGCTTATTAGAAACCAAAAACGCGCCAATGATAATCTTATACAATTATAATACTCTTATACCGGCATTTTGTAAGTTACCTTTAGTCCTCTTGCATATTGAAGCGAATGTTTTTGCACAATTGTTATCATTCCACTTTCTGATACTTCCAAGAAATTCGGTACACTTTTCCTGGCAGCTATTCGGTTCGTTTTCGCTCCACTGCCGCGGATTTGTAAATTTATTGCCATCACTCCATATCCAGCCATCCTTATCATCGCAGGTCTTTTCCTTACGGATTAATCCAATCCAGAATTTATAGTTTTTTAGGGCATCTGTATTTGTTTGCCCGTGAACAAATTCTACTTCCGAGGAATCAAGGATAGAAATCATGTCAGCTCCGTGACCTAAGCAGACAGCTCTGGAGTCTTCCCAGCTCATTTTTCGGATTACTTTCTTAGGTATGACAAACAAATAGCATGAGTTATGATACTTTTTCCAGCCATTGGGGCATTCCTGAGTTCCTGAAAAGAAATGTTTGTAGAAGTTTCGTAAATGCTAGGTCTTTGTTTATTGTATGAATGCATGATAATATTGAGTATCGCTTATCGAGGTTCAGCTTCGAGGCAAAGAGTAAGTAATGCAGGGTCATTTTGCAATAATTTTAATGAAGTATATAAAAAGAGGAATGGGTATAGCTTGAAATGAACTACAAAACTGTGATTCTGATAGCAGGGATTTACTAATTTCGAGTTTCGGGAATGTTTTAGTTCCAGAACCGCCAGTCACCTTTCCCGCATACGCATCTCTGTGTGAACTGAATTTTAAGAATGAAATCAAAATTCGGTTACGGGAATATTAAACCTCTATTTTTATACATATTTTATTCTTCATTTTGGCAAACATTATTATTAATAGCGTTTATACATGCGTTTCAATATATTTTGCTGTGGAAGTTCAGGATATGCAAAACAACCAACTAATTCTATTGCTGAAAAAAACAAGAAATCATTGGACCAATGTTAGCTCATAAGTTGTTCGTACATGTTCGCATTATTCAAATTTAAATGCGTCTATAAACACATGCACTAAAACAGTGCCCCGCGGTACGAAAGGTGTTTCGGTGCTTTGCCGCTAAAAATACATTGCGCACAAACATGGAAGGCTAAAAGGGCTTTTGAATTTATAGGTGCAAATTGGCTAGAAGGTGTTTGCGAAAATTTTTGCTGTTAATTTGCAACATCGAAAACTTGACATTTTTCCATAGTTTGAAAATTTCACTCAAATATGCAACTTTTGTTAGTCTTGATTAATAAAGTAAAGGTTATTTTTATTTATAAAGAGAAAAAATACGTCATTTTTTACTTTTTGTAGCGCAGCGCCATGTTTGTTTTGTTTTGAAGCAAGCTGTGACCGTTACTTGAGGACTGCTTTATACTGATCGGTTGATTTTATCATCACATTATTTTTCAACCAATCAGATCAGTATTTTACAAATTTTTGCACTGTGTTAACAGATAGGTGCATCGTGATTGCAGAAAATTGCATTGAGATTACAGAAAATTGCACTGTGGTTACAGATTTTTGCACGGCTGTTTGGGATTAACTGCACTGAACTCGACCAATCACAGTCGAGTAATATTTTTATGTGTATTATTACTTTTGTTACCATGCATGGGGCCATATGAAAATGAGGTTAAAAACGTTTTCAGAAGAAAATGTTGACTTTTGGAAAGAGATTAATGCAAGCAAATGAAGAAGCATCGGGATTCCGAGTGCTTAAACGAAACAGAGAAAAAAGAAAAGAAACTTGAAAAATGCGTATGGAGAAGATACCTTATATGGTGACAAGACACATGCAACACTATCTGGGCAGTTCGTGTTTGGCAAGAGTGGCCCGGAAGAAATGACTCAGTCGAATGTAGAATCGTTATAACGAAGATTTGTATAGTATGATGTGTTATTAAATGTAAATGTGATTGTGTATGATATTGGTTATAGATAATTATTTTTACATATTTTTAGAATTTCGGTATTACGTGGAAAAGACGGGCATGAGTTACCTTTTTCTTTTTTGCAAACAGAAGAATATAAGTAGGCACAATTAACATCATTCCATTCTGTCCAATTGCCATATGCGGAAAGACTGGCGCAATTTTCAATCATCCCAGAGTTACTTGGTTCGTTCTTAATCCACTGAGGATTTGTTAACTTATTGCCGTCACTCCAGATCCAGGCATCCTTTTTAGTTTTGTTACGAAGTAACCCAATCCAGAAATTATACTTCCCTAGTTGGATTATTCTCTTGTGAACAAAATCAACTTCGTTGGAATCAAGAATGGAAACAAGATCTGCCCCATATCCTAAGCAGTTTGTTCTTGAGTCTTCCCAGCTCATTTCTCGCGCTTTTGTATAGGGTATGAAATAGCACGAAGCGCTAAATTCCTTCCAGTCTTTTGGACATCCTTGAGTTGCATTCACTGAAAAAGTAATTTAATAAAATTGTTGATTTTTGAAACAGTGATATATGCATTAATGTTTGAATGAAACACCCATAAATTGATTTGCACGAAAGAAATGCCAGAACCCATTTTTTCATTGGATAATATATACTCAGATCATTAAGGTGATCAAGCAATTGATATAGACATGTTAATATGCATGTGTGCGGCCAACCAAATATATAATTAATGTGAACGTGCGAATAATCGCCAACAATGCTTACTAATGCTTTCTCAGAGCTACAATGCACTGCTTTCTTCTTGTCGTGAACTTGACCACTATAAATATGCACAGTTAATTTCAAGCAGTTGAATGAACACCAAAAGTGTTATTCTGTGAATGTTTTTGGTTCTTATCGATTCTTATTTTGTTTCACTAAGTTAAAAATAGCTTATCCGCAAACGCAGTTTAGTTGAATCAACATTTCAAAATATTTTACGAAGCTTTTCAGTTTAATTAGATCATATATCAAATCAAAGCTTACAAAACGTAAATATTACAATAACGAAAAATTATCATGTTGCTGCGACAACATGTGACGCTCACCACGAGTCTGCATTCAGTGTTGCCCGTTTATTAATACGTCATGTTAAATAAATCCATAGAAACTCATGCATGTTTTTCTTGTCTACTCAGTAATCGTGCCTGAATGTCATTTTCGAGTGGTGCGTAATGCTACAACGTGGCACTTCGCCTACTGTTGTTGCAAGTAAAAATGCATCCAGAATGTTTAAAGGTTCAGAAATATATTTTGTCCCAAAGACTAAAGGGTAGAGAAACCTAGTAAGTACGAAAGTAAAGATGCACAAAGATAGTGAACTGCGCAACCGTACAGAGTATAACTAAACGTTTTACTTTAGAAGTAACAAACCGCAAATTGCTGCGCGTAAAAAAGAGTATTGATTTAAATTCAAGTTTTGTCACAGGGAGTCCAGGTTCTATTTGCCCGCGTGTGACTTCCTTATAACGAGGGAAGGAAGGAGAGATCCGACCAAAATAGCCCAAACTTGGCATATGTCACACGAAGCTATCCTCGACGTTTCACCTTTAAATGCACTTCCTTCAAGATTAATCGATATTCCCTGCAAGGATGATACCGTAGAACTCTCAAAACAACGATCCTTTAATCAAAGAGCTTAAATTCGCTCTAAAATCCGTTGGGGAATGACAACATTCGGCCAAAATATATCAGCGTGAAAATTTGCTGGATAAAAACCGGAAGTCTTTGAACAACTCAAAATACACTCAAACCTGATTGGACAACGAATTTCAACAACCATTTCTTATTTTTTGGGAGTGGAGAAAAATTTGAAACGTTTGTGGATATTCGTTGCGTTGTCCAATTTGGTTTGAGTGTATTTTGAGTTGTCCAGCAAATTTGCACGCGGATATATTTTGGCCGAATGTTGTCATTCCCTCAGGGTTTTTTTAAAAGCGAATTTAAACTGTTTGATTAAAGCATCGTTGTTTTAAGAGTTATACTGTATTACTCTTGCAGGGAATATCGATTATTCTTGAAGAAAATGCATTTAAAGGCGAAAAATCGAGGATAGTTTCGTGTGCCATATGTTAAGTCTGCCTATTTTGGTTGCATATCTTTCCTTCCTTCCCTCCTTATAAATAGAGCGCGAGCTAGCCTCAGTCTTGTGTGGTTTAGATGGTTCGGAAAGTTTGATGTCAGCTATATATCGTGGAGTTGGGTGTCTGCAGATAACTCTTGGTATAGCTAAATTCAACTTTGTTACCTCACTATATACAGCAAACATTCTCGTGAAAATTATTGGGCTTGTGGGGGTATTTCAGAATCCAAGCTCTCGTGTCGGCTGTTCGTGATTAATTCAAATTTTAATACGCTAGTTTGAAAACTGAAAGGAAGAAAGTTGACAGTTAATGGATTCGCTCGCATCCTTACCAAATCAAAATTTTTCTTCTCACATTAATTAAACTCGCGACAGTCGCATACAATTCTATGTCAAACTAGTAGGAACGGAAAATATCAACGAACTGCTTAATTTGTCATTATTTTAATTTTTTTCAACAAGTCGGTACCGTGTATATCGAGCTTGCCAAGTTACGTACCTTTATTCTTTTTACAAATGGAAGAAAATGATTTAGCACAATCATTATCATTCCACCTTGCCCTATTGCCATCTTTTAAAAGCTCGGCACAATTTTCATGAACGTTTCCGTCGTTATTTGGTTCGCCCTGCCTCCACTGTGAATTTGTAAAATCACGGCCATCACTCCATACCCAGCCATCTTTTGGATCAATGGTCGTTTTCTTGCGGATTAATCCAATCCAGAATTCGGATGTTGCACTAACATTTTTGGTTTGCTGGTAAATAAAATCATTTTCTGCGGAATCAAGGATAGAAACCATATCAGCTCCAAATGCTAAACAATTTGCTCTGGAGTCTCCCCAGCTCATTTGTCGCATGACAAATAGATAGCAGGAATTGCCATATATTTTCCAGTCTTTTGGGCATCCCTGACTTGCAATAACTGAACAAAAATAAATAAATGCAGAAATATGAGAAAGTGACTCAAGTATGAAAGTCCCAATTAATAACTTAAGATGAAATATTAATACACTTACAACAATACCGAGAGCGAGGAAATTATCCGACTTAATGGACATTGTGGTTGTTTTTGAACAAGGAAAAGTATGCAGCAAGTTACAAAGTCCATTGTTGTGGTAAATTACACTAAGATCCACACGTTGCTTGTTTACATTCATAATACACAAGCTTTATGAATCTATTTGCATTTTCGGGTCGAATATTTTTCAACAGATACCTCATCCCCGAGCTAGCCAACGGCGCGGAGCGCCGTTCCAAGCGTAAGCCCGGGGCAAGGATACTAATTCCGCCCGGCTATTTACACCCGGGAAAACGAAAGCATTATAGTCCAGTCAAATCACTATAAGTACATGGTCCTGATCAAAGTAGTCGCAATCGTGGTAAAGTGTGTGAAACGTTGTTCTGATTAACATATTAAAAATCTCCAAAATCCCTTCGGTGGAACATGGTGAAAATCAAGTTTTTCTTACTTCTACCTATAGAAAACCATTGCGGACAAAATGTTGAAATTTTGAAATTATATTTTTGCAAATATAACATGCATCATTGGAAAGCTTAGAAAAAACTAAATATAGATCATTAAACGGTTACCTTGCTTTTGCCTATCCAGCCCAGGTTATACAAGATTTAGTATGCCAAAAAATTTGTATTTTGTGCAAATTTTGCGCTATTGTTCCAAATTTGAGCTAGAATAACGACAAACTGACCAGTAAATTGAATATAACGGTTTAATTGACCTTTATATAGTTTTGTTTAACCTTTCCAATAATGTAGGTTACATTTGCCTAAAAATGATTTCAAAATTTGAACATTCTGTCCACAATGGTTTTCTATAGGTAGAAGTAAGAAAAACTTGATTTTCACCATGTTCCACCGAAGGGATTTTTTGGAACTTTTAATATGTTAATCGGGACACCTTCCCTCACATTTTACCGCTGAGAAAAATTCTATTGCAATTTCTTTGACCACTGTTCACAGATTGACTGGACTATTAGCGAAGTCTGAAGTTCATCAATAATCGCTGGCGTGGGTGACCAACGGTGGGTGGTCATCCTCACTGATCTCAAAATTACGGCTGACTGTCAAGAATAGCGAACACTGATTGGTCAAATTTGAAATTTGCATTATAACGACTGCATGACGACAGTGAAATAGCAAGCATTTCTTGAATTGATGATCATATTTCATTTTTGCAAGATATGTGAATTTCAAAAGCTTTTTAAGAAAATAAAGGCGAAAGAATTGCTAAAAGAAGGGAGTAAAGGCTCCGACGTTAACGAAGGTAGGTTTGTTTTAAATATTGATTTATTGTTCGCTTGATAATTGCTTTAAAAGCTGATCGTTGCGTATATTTTAAATGAAAAAGACAGCATTTAATTTCAATGTTTCTTTATTGATTACCCTTGTCTATGATATTAACATTTTTAAATAAACAAGGAAGCAAACTTGTATGAATGCGAGGATTTGAAATGATTTTATTTCAAACTCTAATTTTGATAAAGGCAGTTTAGTTTTATAAGGCGAGATCGACCTTTTTTATTTATTGGTTTACGGATTTGACTTTAAAAAAAACAGATCGGTAGGTTGGAAAAAAAATTTTAAAACACACACTCAGTATAAATGATTACCAAATTTAATACTTGAATTTCTTAACATTAACTTCAAAAATGCAATAAACATGACTAATCTCCATGATCGATTGTCACAACGATAACATGAGCTAGTAGTACTTAGAGTCAAAGTTTACTTGGTCTATACTTCATGTCAGAGCGCCCAATTAACTAAAAGTGTAAAATTGTTGACATCCAAATTCATTTTTTACTTTCTGCATAATATTTACGGTCGGCGCATCCGTAAACTGAATGAATAAAAAAAGTCTCGCCTAAGGAACATTTAAAAACGTGTTGCGAATTGTTCGAGGTTGAATTTAGGCCTACCTTAAATTGAAGCTTATATTACGTATAATAACATACCTAACATATACATGTTTGGGAATTGATAATTTTGTAATTAAATTTGTAATTGATAATTTTGTAATTAATTTTGTAATTAATTTTGTAATTAAATTTGATAATTTTGCAAAAATATTCTTAACAAAATTATCGTGTTACCATGGCACTACTTTAAATATTTCATGTTTGGAAAATACAATGCCTAATGATTTTGTCAGCAAGGCGAGCGGTTTCTGCATGCATGTATCTGCATGGAAAGAGGATATCTAGTTTGAGAAGGCGAGATGTTAGTTTTCTTTGTGAAGAGTTTGATAAAAAGACAAATGATAAGGACTTTCTAGATTTGAAAGGCGACGCTTCATAGTGATGACACACGAAAAGGATACTTGCTCTACAGCGAGAGTGTATCTGAAAAGTATCATAAATGGCCAAAACGTAGGAAATTAGCTCCGCGAATGTCTTTGGCTTTGCTGATGTTGAATGTACGGGAATGTGTATTGTAATATTGTTAAGGTGTATATATCCAGGGACGGCGGAACTGGGGGGGGGGGCAATTGCCCTCTTGCCTTTTGCTAGGAAGGACAAGGTGGGCAAGGGTGCCCTTTGAGTTATAAAATACTACCTGATAAATCACATTTCCAGTGATGTTTTTTGGGCAAAATCATGAGTTGTGATCTTGAATGTGACCTGATTAAGTGCGTTTGTTTTCATTGGCAAGTTACCACATAATTGTAAGTTTATATCTTTACCGGGGTCTATAGAGGTGCCCTTTGGTGCGCGTTTGCCCCCCCTTGTCTTTTTATCGTTCCGGCGTCCCCGTATATATATCGAATGCCTTTGCCAAAGTACGAAGAGAAGGAAATATGGTTCTCTAGGGTAGACTGTATACACTGCTGTTTCTACCGGTGTAAACAGCAATAACCAATGTATGTGATTTATTGCTGTATTGATTGCATTACTTCCCCAAAACACCGCTACCATCACGGTCAGTATGGTTTGATATATTTAATATGCACGAAAGTTTACGAGCTTTATAATGATTTTATCCCATAGCCATAATAGAAAATATCTATCATACGAACGAGTAGGAATCTGTCGTTCAGTTAGTTAGGCTATTCGTGGGTTCTCGTGCTACTGTGTAGGGTTACTAATAAGCTATCACCCACATACTGTACACATATGTACACCGCCGAAGAATTGATTTATGTATCATGCATAAATTATATCATAGTGGGCTATTTTCGCATTTGGTTTACTCTACCTAATCCTTCGTCTAATTTTTTATCCAAATTAGACATATTTAACCAATTTCTATTATTCCCACAAATTTTCACACCCACACATGCACGCACAAATCAGTATAAACGCGGATGCAACATAAACTGATGGCGGAGATAAACAGATTGATTGTCTTACCATTTGTCCCTGTGCATAAGTAAGCGACTGTCAAAAACGATGAAATTATTCCAAACTTCATTATTTGGCTGATGTTCACTTCTTGTTGCTTGTCTGGACAAGTGCAACACAGTTAACTTATTTATCGGAGCAAACTGCTGTTCAAATAAACAAGTTAACCGAATTCTCGAAGTATGTTGTTAAAATAAGCTTTTGCCGGATGTTTAACAGGCATGCATGTATGTATGACGTAAATGATAATGCGGTCCAAGTGCTGCCTATTTTCAATAAAACAAAGCGGTCTTTGTGAGTGTGTTCGTGTGATTAATTCGGACAATGATCAGGAGAGGAAACAAACGTAACAGAAAGTGTGGCGATACCGTCCCATCATGTTCCATTACTGAGTTCTTCAATGCTGAAGAGTAAATTAAATTGGCGAGTTGCAATGTCAAGCATGTTCATTGTCGTAGTAATTTTTTTTTTTGAAACGATCATTAACTCAAAACATAATAATGATGTCAGCAACTGTCAGAATGTTAAAATTATAGTAAACTTGATCATTTGACTGGTGTTTGTCTGTTACTGCTGGTTTCAACAAGTACCACATAATTTTTTGACACGAACTACTGTTTTGCAAACAATAAAGATTTTGCATGAAGTTCAACGTAAACGTATTCAGTGTTGGAACTAGTTGCACTCTGGGATACAGTATTGAAATTGGTAAGCAACGAAATTCCCCTTAATAATTTGAGTCATATTGGACTCCAGTCGAGTCGCTGAAACTATAGCGACTCAAGCTCACCGAATCCAAGTCAATAGCGAGCTTATAAGCATGTAG